TGTCTGCATGTACTTCCTGTATATCTTTGTGTACTGTCTGCATGTACTTCCTGTATATCTTCGTGTACTGTCTGCATGTACTTCCTTTATATCTTTGTGTACTTCCTGCATGTCTGCATGTACTTCCTGTATATCTGCATGTACTTCCTGCATGTCTGCATGTACTTCCTGTATATCTGTGTGCACTTCCTGTATATGTGTGTAACCTGTCCTGAAATTCTGTCCTTGCAAGTAAAAACAGGTTAAAAATCTTCTCCGGTCATCGAGTGGAGCTCCCTTTGTGTAAGTGAGATAAAGTGAGACTGTTTCTTTACAACATTCTCCCTCCAGGAGATTTACTTCCTGGTTTCCAGGTCCCAGTGGTGCCCGATCCTGGTCCTGAAGGGCCTCCATCCTGCAGGTCTCAGTTGTGTTCCTGCTCTTGTTCTGCAGAACTTGTCTGTTCACTCGTTTATTCCAGTCAGGCGTCGGAGCAGAGAAACATCTCAAACATGCAGGACAGTGGCCCTGGAGGACCAGGATCCTGTCTGTTAGGTCTCTATCACCCGACACTGATGGGTGAAGGTGGTCAATACATCATTGTCCTCTGCGTGTGTTCATTTGTCTGTTAGCAAAATATCTCTAGAAGAACTGGATGGATTTTTAATGAAACCAGTGGGAATCATTGGACGTTTGTCTAGAACTCCCTTCAGCTTCACCAACCATGTTCTTGTTATTAAGGGACTTAAAGATGAGCAGTTTTATCTTCCATCAGATTATTCAAACAGAAGCAGCTCAACTTTCAGCTTAACTTTGAAATAATCTGCTGTTAAGCTGAAAGGTAAACAAAGGGAGCGTGAGGAAGTCAAAGTGTCGTGAAGACGTTTATCCTGCCGGTGAAAGTGAAACTCAGATCGTTGAACTCTGAGAGCAACGCCCACCCACAGTTTGTGGTTTCACACCGAGACAATCGTTTTCTGTTCGCTTTAATAAAACGTTAAAACTTTAAACTGACATCTGAGAACAAGCCCCGTTCTTTTCCAGAACCAGCTCAGGCTTTGACTTTTAGTAAACGGTTTCTGTTTTTTAGTATTAGCAGCTGTGACATGTGAAAGTCCCACTCTTGTTTCTGAAGATTTGATTTAATTTAAAACTTTCGGCCACGAGAAGCAGCGAGGGAGAAACGCTGCAATGATACGGCAAAAATGTGTCAAATAATCCCAGAAATTACTTTAAACTCCAGACAGGTTTTTATTTCTCTGTGCTATAAGGTGTAGGATACTGGTGGACAGATCTAATTAACAATAGCTTTATTAATATATATATATATATATATATATATATATATATATATATATATGTATATGTACAGTAGTCCCTCGCTACTTTGCGGTTTGTTTATCGTGGACTCGCTCTATCGCAGTTTTTCAAAATAAGATTGGACATGACACACAAATGGCTGGTTGACGGATGAGCCGCACGATCGGAATGAAATTTTTATTTAAAATAAATTATTTAGCACCTGCTGCACCTTTGTGCAGCCCACACTGCAGGATAAACTTCCTGCTGCAGCTGATCAGCTGTTCACCATGCAGAGTGGAGAAGTGGGCGTGGCCAAGAAAGCTTGCAGGTGGCAAAGAGCAGCGGAGACAGGGAGCTGAAATCATGACATTCTGTGTCTTTTAGAGCGTTTAAAGTTTAGAAACATTGTTTAGAATATTGCAAGAATGTGGGAAGGCTTTAAAATGCCTATATATATATATATATATATATATATACTAAGATAAACTACTACTTACTACTTGTACTACTATTCCTACTTTGTGGTTTTTCAGTTATCGCAGGTCTTCAGGGTACAGATCCCCCGCAATAAACGAGGGACTACTGTTTATATTGCACTAATAAGTGTCCTGCATTGTTTGTGTTTGTCTGTTAGCAAAATATCTCATGAGCAAGACAGATTTTAATGAAAGTATTGGACATTAATCAACCAACATTCATCTAAATCTGGAGTCAACACAATTAAAGATGGCCGCCACAGCTGATCGACATTAGCATTAATAAAAGTGGCTGTAACTCCTTTGGTTCTACAGATATCGAGCTGAAGTTTGGTGTGGTGGTAGCTGAGAGTCATCCTCGTCACATACCGTCACAACCTGCTAGAGCTCAAAGTGTGACGGGGACAACTCTCAGCTACTACCACACCAACGCTCAGCTCGATATCTGTAAAAATTACTGTTAAAATGAGGAAAATCTTGATTTTAAACTGTTGATGCAGTTGTGGAAATGTTTCAACGTTTTCAAAAACAACAGGAAAAGTCCAAAAATATGATTTAAAGATTCACTCCGATAAGTTTTAACATTCAAATGATCATTGTCTGTCTGTCAGTAAAATATCTCCTGAAGCAGTGGACAGCTCTGAACAGTTTGTTGATAAACTTCAACGTTCAACCGACTGTCGCAAAGACTGACTGTCTGAAGCTGTCAGCTGAACAGACACTGAGCTAACAGCTGGTGGTAGTAGCTGAGAGTGGTCCCAGTCAGTAACTCTGGCTGCAGAGTTCTCTGATCCTGGCGGGGCGGTGAGGAAGGAGTCGGAGCAGGAAGGGAGCAGTGGAGCAGAGGTGAAGGAAACGAACGGAGGAAGAGGAGGAGTGAGTCACGACGAACCACAAGACGAAGGCGCACATTTTCCAGCCTCGGGGAACCCGGAGCACTCGGCGCCCGACGGGAGGGAAAAATCCTTTCCCTCAGCTCGGGAGGGAAACTGACGTCTCCCAGGATGGAAAAAGGAGGGAGGAGGTCCGAAAACAGCCGGCGGGTCTAAAACCCTGAAAACAAAACTTCCTGCTCCTGTCCAAGTTCATCTGAACCTTTACATCCAAAACTTCAACCAGTGAGAATTCACCGGACATCAGCTTTAGAGTCGTTCGACCCTGCTGCTGCCCTGGGGTCAAAAAGACGCCTCACTTGTTTGACCCAAGGGCAGCAGCAGGGTCAGGCTCAGTTTGAAGTATTTAACAGTTGTTGTTTTTTTTTTTAGATCAGTTTAATTGAAGGAAACACCCAGCACTCCTCGAAGGAATGCATTATCGCCCGCCACCGTTCATTCCAGAGTTTAGTACCAGACATGGGAGGTGGCGGGCGATATGCATTCCTTTAGGAAACGCTGGAGTTGCTACCGATTGTGTATTCAACAATGCAAAAAACATTAAATTAATCTGGGATAGATTAACAAAAAAACATTATTCTGAAATGCAAATATGTCAACTACTTCATCCATCCATCCATCCATCCATCCATCCATCCATCCATCCATCCATCATCAGGTCTCGGAGGCAGCATCTTGAGCAGGGAGGTGCAGACATCTCTCCACTGCCACCTCTTGCAGCTCTTCTGGGAGGACCCCAAGCTGTTCCCAGGCCAACCAAGAGACATAGTCTCTCCAGCGTGTCCTGGGTCTTCCCCGGGGTCTCCTCCCAGTTGTACATGCTCGAAGCACCTCCCTAGGGAGGCGCCCAGGGAGCATCCTTTCCAGAGTTCGTGGCCATAGGTGAGGGTAGGAACGTAGACCGACCGGTAAACGGAGAGCTTTGCCTCACAGCTCAGCTCCCTCCTCACCACAACGGACCGGTACAGAGTCCACAATACTGTAGATGCTGCACCAATCCGTCTGTCTACCTCAGGCTCCATTCTTCCATCACTCGTGAACAAAACCCAGAGATACTTGAACTCCTCCATGAGGCGGAACCTCGCCCTCGACCTGAAGAGAGCAACTGGACTTGTTGAAATCTAAACACGTGGCAGTCCAGTGCTCTTGGGGGCCCCCTGCTGGTGTGGGGGACCATAAACCGCCGAGTGTTTCGCTAATACCTTCAGCCACCTTTGGCCACTGCCACAACTTTAGCTCAGTGTCTGTAAAAGAGGCCGAGTTGCAGCTACATTTGTGTTTGTTGGGGTCGATTCGCCTGTTTGAATTGTAACGATTGTGGACGTGCATCAGAAGAAGAGTTTCTGGAAATTTCTTTAAAACCCGTCCAGTTTTTCACCAGGTGTTTTGTTGAAGGACAAACAAACACAAATAACATTATCGCCCTTTCATCAGCAGGCGAAGATGAGGGCTGGGCCCTTCGGCTCAGATCTGTGGATCGGATCGTTGGATTCTTGAGGGAAAATATAAATTATTTGCAGGTTAAAGATGTTTTCAGAATAAAACTAAAAATCAAGACAGAAATAATTCTGGACCAGAATGATGAAAAGTTATTTTTGGCTTCGGCTCGGACTTTTCTTGTACAGACTTATGAACAACACGATGGATTCCTGAAGGAGTAAACCAGAAATGAGTTGAGGAGGAACAACACCTGAA